TTTTTTTTTTTTTTTTGATTTGCTTTTGGTATTTAAGCGGGTGGTGTAGATAAATCTTTTTGAGTTTATGTTCTTTACCAGCGGTTGTAAATTTTGAAACATTTAATGGGTTTTGAGTTTTTCATTTGTTACTTTGATATAATGCGTGTGCATTTTAATTTACGTTTTTTGTTATGATATCCATAAATGTATCGAAATCTTGAAACTTGTCAACTGAAAAGTTTCATTTTTTTTTTGCACGTTATTTGATTTCGCTATCAGTTTTTTAATTTCAGCACTGTTCCGTTTGCTCAAAGGAAGGGGCTACCCTCGAATTTGGAGGGAAAATGTTTCATTACCCCTGCGCTTATCAGAAAGGTTTTTAAAGAACAAAATTAGTCATTACTTTTACATGTTGTATTAATTCTCAGGTTTAAGATTTTTAGGTATTTGTTTTATGTCGTCACAGAGTCATTCTGTTAACTGGTTTTTCTTTCAGGAAAACTAGGAAGCAAAAGACCTGACGCAGAGTAGACTTACGGATATACTGATGCTGTAACTGCATGACTAATACGCACTATGGTAATTTTTCCGCAGGTGTACTATGACGGGTTCTCTCAAAAATATTTGTTTGTAATTTGGTGGTACTTGTAAATAAATAAGAGCTTTGCTTTGCTTTGCTCGTCTTTCCCATTGTTTTTAGTATACTGATCCTCATCTTCACTGCTTTCTTTCCTGATTGTTTTGCAGAATTACAGCTTTACCTTAATACCTTAACGTAAAAGTTGCACTTTTCCGTAGATGAATGTCTGTTGAAGTGGAATAATAGGAAGTGGAATAATTTAGGGTAAATGAGCGACCTAATTATCCTAGTTGATTGTGAGTGCTGTTTTTATAGCATTTGCAAAATTTTTACAGATGATTTTTTCAGGAGAAAAAAATACGGTCATTACTGTTTTACTTTATTGTATATTCCTTATCATAGGTAGAATTAAAAGGATTGACTAGTTTACTGCTGAAAGTATTGGCATTTGTAAGGTTTTTTATCTGCATGTTTTGCCGTTATACCATTATAACATTCTAACGAAATAAATTATCGCCAGGTGAGTATTGAAAATTGCATAATCGTTCTACTGTTAAGGAAAACAGCAGTGGAATTTTTAGAATATCAATTCGTGTAAATTTTTTACTGCAAATTTTCTCAAACGGTCATTGAATGCAGAACAAATACGAGGTCTTTTCCGAATACTCTAATTTTGCGAAGCACAACTTTGGCTTTGCTCGATGCTGTTATCGGCATTTCTTGAAGCGAGTGGTTTCGTGGTTTACTGAATGACGGTAGGGGGGATACGAAATTACTCCGAGAGACGAAAGGGAGAAATGGACTGGGAGGTAGGGTGCGTTATTTGACTTTCCAGTCATTTCTGTTCATGCATTGCTGAGTACTTTTCTTTTTTTTGCTTGTATGTCCTGTATTTGCTCTCTTCAAGCCATCGCTGTCTAATGTGGTTAGAGGACTGAAGAAATCTCGACGAAAGTCTTCTTTGTGTTTGAAAGGGTTAAGTATGTTGGACGACATTATTTGCATTCTTGAAGATGAAAATAAATTATACTTCAGGTCTATATTTTTGTTATTAGAACCTTCAATAGTTCATTTTCTAGCTCCTCATTACAGCGAAAAAATAGCTCATTAAGAATGAGAAGTAGATGATTAAGTGGGAAATTCTTCAATAATTTTTGAAAAGGTTGGAAAAAATAAACGCTTGGTGTTCATGGTAACGTTTCTCAGGAAAGAAATTAGTTTATTCGGATATTTAGAATAAAATTATTCTACCCGATTGTAGTGGTAAAAACTTCAAAGTCTGGGTAGCTAGAAACTCAGGTCATGAATCCCGTCGTTTAAGCAGTGTTTCTCAAACCCGAAATGCATTCTCCCAAAATTTGACAGTGTTGAGGGGTAAATATTTGGGAAATAAAGAGTGAATTGTTTATTCAGTACACTCAGCATCATCGATTGATGACGAAATTGGTGTGGAGTTTGATTAATGAAGTTGAACAAAATTAGGCGAGAGTCTCATCGCCAAAACTGTTATTTTTACGTACTCTAATGTTGCTTTTAATGGTGCTTTAGTCAAAAAATTATTGTAAGAACTAGTGAGGGTAACAATGTATTATATCTGAAGGAATAGGTAGCAATGTTTTTCAAGAGCTAACGGAAACTAACTGGGTTATATCAGTTTGCCTGTTTAATTTGATAGACTTTTTGTGAGTAATCCAAGTGAGCTCATGACGTACCGCTTCAAGGTGCCTTACTCGCAATTTCACGCTGTGTGGAGTGTTACGATGTTGCTGTATAACAGCGACCAATAAGACTTTCTTGATTAGTGTCTGACAGTCATCAGACTCTAATATTTTAGCAAATCTTGAGAAAGTAATGTAAACAGCGTCCAAGCACGCTTTTTGTAACCACAGAAAAAATTTTAAGAAACTTCCAAATGGTTTCGGTAAAATGTTTCAGTGCAGAAAATTCTGGGATTGTTAAAACTGTACCCAGCAAATGATCACTTTACTATTGTTTTACACGACTGCAAAATTTTTTGATGATGGAGTGAAACTGGTTGGCCACTAAATTTATAGCTGGATATACATTTGTTTTCTACTTAACGAAAAATTTTAACAACTTCAAGTGGTTAACCTCATTGGGATAAAATTATTTCGGTAGTAGAAATGCCTTTTTTTTTTTATTACGGCGATTAGCTTCAGCTGGAATTTGTTATTAAATGACTTTTAGCTCCGACTAGGAGTCAGTGACAAAATCGCATAGTTTTTAAGTTTCTTACATTTACAGTTAAATCATTTGAACGAATACTATCGTATTTGAAGATACTGCTTAGGTTAAATTACATATTCAACATAAAACAGTACTTTTGAAAACGCGCTTAAATTTTACAAATTCCCTTCTGCAAAACAATAGCTCTTTGTGGGAGGTATAAGCCGCTTTACTTTGAGTTGCTAAGTTCCTTCTTGCAACGAGTATAGGAACAGTCTCATGTCTGAAAAGGTTTACGTAAAGGTTTTAAAGCTTTGATAACTGTACAGTACGGGCGATGATGAAAAATAAAGCTATGTGCATCTAAGGTAGACAGCTGAAATAAAAACGTAACGAATGAGCATCTGTACGTGTAAATAGATTCATGATAACGGGAATCATTTGTAATAACTTCAGTTACATACGAAAAGAATAAATGACGATGAGTAAGATGGATGAGGAGTAACTTCCCAGTGAAAAGCGAAATTCATAACGTTTGCTAAATTTCCATGATGTTCATTCGCGATGCTAGAAGATCGCTTAGAAAGATTAGTCGATACAACATCATTGCAACTTTAAAAGTGCAATGGTCATCAACACTAATCTTCAAAAACAGCAACGTTAAACTGCAAAACTGGAGGCTCAGTAATTTCAAGGACGTCATATCATAAAGAGCATAAAATCGTTAGTTAATATCTAACATTGTCAATAGACTTAATTTTTCAATACAGCTTAAAATCTGGAACTGCTTAGAACAAAATTCTTTCGTTAAATCAAAACTAGCTTTTTTGAAGTGGAAACATTACAGCTGCTTGTATCTACACTTTTTTCAATCTAATCAAGTAACATCTTATGGACTGCTCTAGAGCACTGACAGCTTGTAATCGTCGTTTGACGTTGTCGTTACTGCTGATATTAGTGTCCAAAAACTAAACTGGTAACAGTGAAAAGGTCAATTCAAATCTTAAAAACTGTTGACAGTAAGCTTTTTAGAACGCCTAATATGAAAAGTTGGAAATGGCAAGTAGAAGAACTAGAAGTAAACCAAAGTTATAATAGCAAGGAGTCCTCAACTTTTAGGCTGGTTTTTGCTTCACTACAGTATTTCCGTTCCAAGGAAGCCAGTTTTAAGAGCTAAAGTTATCGTTTGATGACAGCGCAGTGAAACTAAACAATTTTGGTTGTTCTGAGTACATTTGTGGCACTTCTCGTCTTCCCCATTACTTTGAAGTTTTTCCAGTGCTGTAATCGTCCGCTGTAGAACAAAACTCTGCACCATACTTCTTACAAGGAAAGGCAATGATTCATCAGAACTTTAGCTTCGTAAACAGTTTCTTACGCAAAATGAGAGAGAATTTAACAGTTACTTGAGTATTAGGAGACTGGTCAAAGGTTAGAAAAGTGGTCTCTTTAGTTGTCTACGAAACCCTTACAACAGTTTTTTAAATGAAAACCAAAGTTCCCCTTACTTCTTCTGGTGTTTAGGGGCCGCTGCGCATAATTTTGCAGTCTTATTATACTCTTGGTCTAAACCTGTTCAAAAACACCTTAACTGCTGCTTCAGAATAGTTTTTCGTATCTATTATACAATTTACCACCTTTTAGTTTAGTCTCACATTTGAAAAATATATTGTTTTTCCTTTCCATTAATTGTTTAACGCTCCTTTTTAAAATGTGTAAAACTCTTCAAAAGTTTTTATAAGTTTTTATAAACACCTGGGCGGTTCCCTATCCCGGTCTCAATGATCCATTTCTGAAAAGACCAAAAAAAACACCATCTTCATTTTCTTTTGATGTTTAAATACACAGAAACTTTTCCAGAAATAAAGCGACTTTCTTCGCAAAGTTAAATGTCTGCCCCAGAGAACCAAATAGCCTTTTGAGAAATCAATAATTCTCACTTGTTTCTAGAATCCATGGGAAGCATAACAGGGAAATAACATGCAGCGTAAAACTGGAATAAAAACGCACTTTTTTCGACCATGTAAAGTAGAAAACCAGCGCTAGTTTATTCATATTTAAGAAAACTTCAATGCAGTGTGGTCCAACAGCGAATAAGAGATGACTAAGGAATAACACGAAACTTCAACCGCTAAGCAATGGTAAACAAGCCCTAACAGGTCTCATAAAGACAGCAACAAAGCATTGCATTTCCTGTTTAGGTCTCAGTCTTCATATTTACAGCAAAAGAATTTTTTAAAGATTTATTAACTTTTTACCTCTCTGTATTCTCGTACCTTAAGAGGAACCACCTTTTGCTTGTGAGGATTTCTTGCAACTATAGCCTGCTCTTATACCCATAGCAGCCCATAACGACATCAGTATTGGTCACCTATGCAAAATAGTTCCATCAAAAGTATTCTAAAGACAGCAGTTCAGAATGACGTAGTTACAATATAACATACGGCACAAAAAAATAAAAATAAATGCTGAAGATTTAAGATAGTAATAGAAAAAAATCGGTCCATATGTAACAAAAAGTTTTTCAAACACATTTCCTTGTTATTCGATGTTGCCGCGCAGTAACGGGCCAAAAGTTGTTCAAGTGATAATTGAAGGAGCAAAAAGAAAGAACGG